GATCTTCAGGCTCCACCTGGAGGTTGGTTACCCTAGGCGTAGCAGTCAGTGCTTCAAAGCAGGGTCTGCTAGATCCAGGTTCTTGCTGTAGAAGCTGAGTGGGTGATTTTGGACCAGTCACAGACTTTCAGTCTAACCTACTTCACAGGGTTGTTGTGCAAGTCAAACGGGGGAGAGGAGAATGATGTAAGCTGCTTTGGTCCCATTACAGAGAAACACTACTTTTCCTCCTGGGTACAGGCTGCAGGTGGGGAGGGGAGATGAAAAGCTGAAGAGTGAGGTGGAAATAAAGGTAGGTTGCCAACTCCAGGTGGGGAATTCCTGGAGATTTGAGGGATGGAACCTGGGGAAGGTGAGGTTTGAGGAGGGGTGGGACCTCAGACAGGTACAATGCCATAGACTCCACCCTCCAAACCAGCCATTCCCTCCTGGGGAACCACTGTTCCAGTGTCTTCCTCAAGGAGCTCAACAGATCTTTCCAAGCACAAGGTTGCCAAATACCAAAATACTTATCCAAATTTTTCAATGAAAGCTGCAAAAAAGTCTCTCTTAGTGAGCTCAAAGCTTCCTCCACGTGCTTTTCACTTTGGAGGAAGCTCTGAGCTCACTGAGAGAGAAGGAAGACACTGAAACAAGAGGATGTCTGGACCTCTGCTGGAGGAAGACTGAGCACTTATTCAAAATAGACTTAAAGGAGTCCTCCCTCTTAAAACTTTTGTATAACTAAGGAGGACTGATCTTAATAAAGGGGTTGTGCAATCTCTTTTGTGATCTATTAAGAGACGATACTTAGATGTTTTGATATATGATTCTTTCTATGTATTAAGGCTGTGTAGTAAGACCCAGGGAAGTCCATTGTTCTGAACTTGCGAATTATCTTTGCGCCCGGAAGATCACAAGTTCAATCCCTGGCATCTCCAGTTACAAAGAACCAGGCGGCAGTTGGTGTGCAAGACCTCCCCTTGAGACCCTGGGGAGCTGTTGCCAGTCTGAGTAGATAATCCTGACCTTGATGGACCGAGGGTCTGATTCAGTAAAAGGGAGCTTTGTGTGTGTTCATGTGTACCCTGTAAGCCCCCACCCTCCCCGGCGCAAACCCTTCAGGCTCCGGTTAAAACCTTAACGGTGCCAGTTAGGTTAATCTTCCACGTAGCCTGAACATAAGAACATAAGAGACGCCAATGTTGGATCAGGCCAAAGGCCCATCCAGTCCAACACTCTGTGTCACACAGTGGCCAGAAATACCAGTGCCATCAGAAGGTCCACCAGTGGGGCCAGGACATTAGAAGCCCTCCCACTGTTGACACCCCCCCCCCAAGCACCAAGAAGACAGAGCATCACTTGCCCCAGAGTCCCTATCTATACCTTGTGGCTAATAGCCACTGATGGACCTCTGCTCCAGATGCTTATCTAATTCCCTTTTGAAGCCGTCCATGCTTTTAGCCGCCACCACCTCCTGTGGCAGTGAATCCCATGTGTTAATCACTCTTCGGGTAAAGAAGGACTTCCTTTTATCTGTTCTAACCCGACCGCTCAGCAATTTCATGGAGTGCCCACCAGTTCTTGTATTGTGAGAAAGGGAGAAAAGTACCTCTTTCTCTACCTACTCTATCCCAGGCATAATCTTATAAACCCTAATCATGTCACCCCTCAGCCGTCGTTTCTCCAAGCTAAAGAGCCCCAAGCGCCTTAGCCTTTCCTCATAGGGAAAGTGTTCCAACCCTTTCATCATTCGAGTTGCCCTTTTCTGCACTTTTCCCAAAGCTATAATATCCTTTTTAAGGTGTGAAGAGATCAAGCTGGTGAGAGGCAGTTATAGGGTACCGAGACGGGCCCTTCCTCTCAACCGTGGCACCCCTCGAGAGCTGGTCTGTGCACCAGCCTACTCCCTCGCAGTAGATTGTTACACACTCCGCGCCTCTTCCCACAGCCAAGGGGACTAGATACTCAGTCTTTTTAAAAGTGACAAATTTGGTCCTAAGGGAGATGATCGGAGCCCTCAACCACTCTCTGAGCTGCTGCCTGTGTTCTGCAGAACATTTAGGGTTGTCGGTCCCCCCCGGTGGAGGTGGGGGTCCCTTGCTGCCAGGCCCCACCCCTTAGCCAATCAGGTGACCAGTAGGGGGACGAGGGGGAGGCCCAGGTGACATCACCAGCGATGTGGCAATGCCACTTCCGGAAAACACCAGAAGTGACGTCATAACGTTGGCGGTGTCTGGGCGATGCTCTGGTATTTGGGCAAGATCTCTATGGTAGAAGTCCTTTCTACCATAGAGTTTTTGCCCAAATACCAGAGCACTGTCGGGACATCCCAACGTGATGACGTCACTTCCAGTACATGCCGGAACTGATGTCGCCACATCGCCGGTGACGTCGCCTGGGCCTCTTTCCCGCTCCTGGTAAGTCCCCCCCATCGGGCACCCCTACATACATTCAAGTTCGTCCTTGCCCTTCCCTTCCATAGTGATTTGTATAAACGTCTCGCCGTCCGAATATCTTGACAAGCACGGTAATAGCCGCGCGCAGTGAGTGGAACAGTCATTACGAACAGCCTTCCGGGGACCTCTGCTTTTTACGGCTTTGCCGAGAAATGCACAAAACAAACGGCAACTAAACAAAGTTGGGGATTATTATAATCAAATGCTCTTCCACCACACTAATGGGACGCTGAGTACAGGGCCGGCCGGGTCAACTTGCACACATACAAGAAGCGCGACAGAA